TGGGTCAAGATAGAATTTTATTGCTTTGGACCAAAGGGCCCTGTAAGATTTAGAGATTAACTTGTAGATCCTATGTGATCTTTAAAAAGTTATAAAATATGAATTTACAAAGGAGATTCTGTGAATAAAAATTCTTGATGTTTCTTAGTTAATATCAAAGTAGTCATCCATCAGCATATTACCATGTAATTTTAACTGATGTGCCAAAAACATACCTTGTTCTGTGTCCTACTTCAGTTTTCTTCATATTCAGGATTTTCTGCATAAACTTTGAAGAAAGATTCCCAAATTCTTAAGAAATTTGAAAACAAGCATTTTTATAGGAATACTAAAAAAACATATAAAGTGTAATACTTATCATTATAACTAATTATCTTAAAAGCAAAAAAATAAAATAAAAAAAGGTTTGATGCCAAATAAACAGTATAATTGACCTTTGTAAATCTAAATGAACAAAAGAAGCTATCAGTTTAGCAGTATGTATCTATGAGCTGAAGGTGAAGATCAAAGACCACAGCCTTCAGTACGGATTACACCTCAACGTAAAGAAAACAAAAATCCTCACAACTGGACCAATAAACAGAAAAAAGATTGGAGTTGTCAAGGATTTCATTTTACTTGGATCCACAGTCAACACCCATGAAAGCAGCAGTCAGGAAATAAAAAGACACATTGTATTGGGCAAATCTGCTGCAAAAGACCTCTTTAAAGTGTTAAAAAGGAAAGATGTCACCTTGAAGACTAAGATGCGCCTGACCCAAGCCATGGTGTTTTCAGTCACCTCATATGTATGTGAAAGTTGGACAATGAATAAGGAAGACTGAAGAGGAATTGATGCCTTTGAATTGTGGTATTGGTGAAGAATATTGAATATACCATGGACTGCCAAAAGAAAATCTGTCTTGGAAGAAGTACAACCAGAATTCTCTTTAGAAGGAAGGATGGCCAGACTACATCTTAACATATTTTGGACATGTGGTAAGGAGGGATCAGTCCCTGGAGAAGGACATCATTCTTGGTAAAGTAGAGGGTCAGCAAAAAAGAGGAAGACGCTCAGTGAGATGGATTGACACATTGGCTGCAACAGTGGGCTCAAGCATAACGATTGTGAGCATGGCACAGGACTGGGGGGTGTTTCGTTCTGTGGTGCATAGGGTCACTGTGAGTCGGAACCGACTTGATGGCACCTAACAACAACAACAACAACAACATCTATGAGTTGGAAACCTTGGTGGCGTAGTGGTTAAGAGCTATGACTGCTAACCAAAAGATCTGCAGTTCAAATCCCCCAGCCGCTCCTTGGAAACCCTATGGGGAAGTTCTACTCTGTCCTTTAGGGTTGCTATGAGTCAGAATCAACTCAGTGGCAACGGGTTTGTTGTTGTTGTTTTAAACTTTATTTTTATCTATAAGTTGGATTCTACTCAACGGGAATGGGTTTGGTTTCAGTTTAGTATAGTATGAACCAAACCAATCCAGTGGCCGTGGCGTCGACTCTGACTCATGGCAGCCCCATGCGTGTCAGAGTAGAACTGTGCTCCAGAGGGTTTTCAGTGGCTGATTTTTCTAAAGTAGATGATCAGGTCTTTCTTCCACTACTACATAATGTACACATATATAATGCTACAGTGAATAGTAGTCACACTATGACAAACACACGTACAAAGATAAATAAGCAAACTCCTAATTCTTCTTTAAATTTTTGTTTTACTCTTAAATTATTCTCAACATGTGGATTTTTTAAAAGGAAGACCTTGGATTATTATTACCAATATATTATTTATGGACGTGCTTTAATATGCTTGCATTTGATAATATTGTGAAAAACAGAAGCATCTCCTTCTAAGGCTTTAAAAGTAAACAGAATTGCCGGTTAGTTCTAAGTGACGTCCAGTGAAATGAGGGTTAATAGAAGCATCAGGAAGCCCATCCTATTTTTTACTGAAATACAAAGTTCATGAAATGCGCATCATTAGTGCAATCATAAAGAGAGGGGGGATAAAGCATTTTATTTGTATATAGAAAGTAGTAGAATACATAAATTAATAAAAACTTACTCCTTCATACTATAGGGTACATTGTACAGACTGCCACGGTCCCTGTCCTCAGGGTCTATCTGTAGCCATTTATCATTGAGTCATTGTTTCAAAGACATTCACATACAGGACTGATTCCAAAGGTCAGAATTAAAATTTAGCACCTGCCTATTGAGCATTCCCCTATTATGTGCCTAACGCGGTTCCAGGCAATGACGCTGAACAACAGAACTTAAGTGATTATAAATGAATACATGGTAAAGGCTACAAGAAAACCTAACAGGGATTTAGGCAGTGATGGGAAGGCCTCACTTGAGCTGAAATCTAGAAGAAAAGAAGCTGCCGGTGGTAGAGAGTTCTGGTGAGAAGGGACAGCATGTTCAAGAACATCTCTAGGACGAATAAGCTGGGCCGCTGGTCTGAGGACCAAGTAGGCCTGGTGTCACCATAGCACAGACCACAGCAGGAGGAGGGTGTGAAGTGACGGGCACAGACATAGGCCAGGAGCCCTTGGGGGACTTGTCAGGAGCACTAGCAGGGGAGGGGCCCTACCTGTATGGAGAATGGAAACAGGGAGATGAGTTAGGAGGCTGTTGCCATAATCCAGGTAAGGCAAGTTGGTGGCGTAGACTTAGCTGGTACTGAGCAAAACGGTGAAAAGTGGAGGAAGTAGGATTTGTTGGAGTTAGAACCAATAGGATTTCTGATGGATTGAACACAGGATTTGAGGGAAGGGGATTAAGGATGACTCGCAGTGTTGGGGGTGAGGGTGGTGTCAGCAGACGAAGGAAGACATCGTCACAAGGTCAGTTGTGTCCCTCTGATGAGAACAGCAAAGAGACCAATGGATTTGATAAAATAAAGGCCATTGGCGTCCGTGATAGAAGCACCTTCACTGAAATGGTAGAGACAGAAGCCCATTTGAAGTGGCTTGGAGAGAGAGTGGGATGTGAGGAAGTGTAGACAGTGACCACAGCAAATTCTTTTGAAAAGCTTTACTGTGAGGTGCAACATGAAAATGGAGCAGTAGCTGGAAGGAACTTTTCAGAAAAGAAGAAAAATATTTCCGATTAAAGAGAAGTCAGATGTGTTCTTAAAAATGAAAAACTCCTGATGTTAAATGGAATTTAAGAGGCCTGTAGGGTTGCTAGGAAACCCCGGTGGTGTAGTGGTTAAGGCCTACAGCTACCAACCAAAAGGCCAGCAGTTCAAATCCACCAGGCGCTCCTTGGAAACTCTGTGGGGGAGTTCTAGTCTGTCCTATAGGGTCGCTATGAGTCAGAATCGACTCGACAGCAATGGGTTTGGTTTTTTTTTTTTTTTTTTTTGGTTAGGTCAAAGTCGTCAACTGAAAACAATATTATAATGACAAAAAAGAGCCCTAGAAGATATGAAAGAAGAAAAGAAAGTTACAAACAAAAAAATCACCCGGTAGCAAGTAGGGCAATACCTATAACATTTAGAGAGGTTCGGAACTCAATTTATTTATTTATTATTTCAACTATTTGGACAATATCAATGAGAAATACTGACTTTTCACTATCTTTATTGCTCACACCAGTACCTTAAACAGGATCAATGAAAGATTCCTTACAGTGCATACATGCAAACCTTATTTCCACTGTAAATTACTACGGCAGCATCCCCTGTCACAAATGCCTGGGTGTGCATGTGAGTTACGCCAGGTTTTACAGACAGCCTTCAAAAATCTACAAGAAACGTGGAGAATTATTTGTGGTTTGTTTATTTGTTTAACTTCAGTTATTACCTGTATTCCCAGCAAAACAACTCAAGGTGTTACTCCACTGTTTTGGCAGCAGATCTGCAGTGATAATAGATACGCCAAATAATTAGTCAGCAAGTCCAAAAAGCACCCACAGAAGGGGATTCTCGGTGGGAAAGAACTGACAGTGATCAGCGAGTTAGGATGATTCAAAGACACAGAGATGCTCTTTTCCCTTTTTCAGTATCTCTCACTCAGTCTTTCCATTTTTTTACCCCTCGGTTGCTCCTCCTTTTTTTCTTTTCTTTCGGTCCTTTCTTTCATTGCTTTTCCTTCTTCCTTCTAGCTTTCCTTTCTTTCCTTCCTTCTTCTCTCTTTCTCTCTCTCCTTCTCTTAAGATTAAGACTTCTTAAGAATAAGACTCATGTGGGTGATCAGTATTTGTTGCTTGAAAACGTATTGTCAAATGGTGGGGATGAGGGGGACAAAATCCAGCGACTTAAGAGAAGTACTCTTAAAACCTAAGGATAGAGGAAGGAAGGAAGTAACAGGAGAGAGAAAGATGTAATAGGCAAACCGGTTGTAGGAATATTAGTATCAGATAAGACTAAGGCAGAGTGCATTAATCATGATAAAGAGGATCAGGAGAGAGAAGCGGAACCACTCGCCAGGTCCGCCCAGGGTCAGCCCATGCTGCATCTTCCCTCTTTTCTCATCTTTTCCCCCAGGCTCTGGGAATATCCCCTCATTTTTCATATTTGCCCAGCACCATGCATATTTCTCGTGAGTGTATTAATGTACAGTGTCTATTAGATTCTTATTAGAAATTTGGATGCTATTCTATATTGAGCTGATTTTATTTTTCATTTTATTCTTACATAGATCTTTTCAGCACACATACTGTGGGCTTCTTGAATCCTTTTTATTATCACATTGGTGCCAAATGGTAAAAAATTAACAACCCAAAAATGGAACAAATATTAAATGCTTTAATGTAGATGTTTTTAAATAAGGGACCTAACTCTTAAGATGTAAAGGTCAATGATTTTAACCTCATTGCTAACAGATAAAAACCATGATGACTTTTTGCAGGTAGTTAGACGACTTGGTTAGTAACATGGTCCCACCCTTCTAACGAGCTTGCTCCTCCCCGTCCTCTGGTGACAGAGCTTGGCGGCGAGCTTGGCTTTGCATCTGCTCTGTGGCTGTTTTCATGTGGCATTTCTTCTCTCTGTTTCCAGGTAGAAATCGAGAAGCTGGATTACCATCATTATCTGCCTCTGTTTTTTGATGGGCTTTGTGAAATGGCATTTCCCTATGAGTTCTTTGCTCGGCAAGGAATCCATGACATGCTGGAACACGGGGGCAACAAGATCCTGCCCGTCATCCCTCAGCTCATTATCCCGATAAAAAGTAAGTGAGCAGGCGAAGACACATCACTCAGGGTGCGCACAGCTCTCTGACAACTTGCTCATTAGGCAAAAAACACAACAGACTGAGGATATTCCCTGCTTTGCTGGGAATTTTTATAAATTGATTTATGAGGCCAGACATCCCAAACCTTCAGATCTGTCCCATCGTGGATGCTTGCCCTGTAGCTTATCCATTTACACAGACTAAATTATTGGGGGTTACACGAATGTAAAATGCCTCATAGTAATGACACAAGCATTAACATTAATGTAGACATTCAGAAATAGATAAAGTGTGTCTCCTAGTGTGTATAAACTGCTACTAACTCCCAAGTTCTTTTTAAATGGCATGCCTAAATTTTAATATTTCAACATAAACCCAAGTATGTTTAGGATCTCTGAGGTAGTAGAATGCATAATTTTTGGAAAACCACATCTGAAATAGAAGATGAACGTTTCAGAATACTTGAAATGTTTGATCGGTGAGAGGGTACCTGGAGGGACTCTAGGGTAACCTGCCTCGGGCTTCATCTGTCTGTTTGTGAGATGAGGTGACATGTCCATGTCATGGCCACATTGTTCTGGTACGAATGGCTTTGGCCAGCTCGTCTGAAAGCAGCCCCCTTTAAGACTGTTTCTGCGATGTTCCCGAGAGACTGCCTCACACAGCACACAGCCTGGAACAAGCACCTAGTTCTTTCTGTCCGCTCTTCTTACCTTCCTCTTACCTGCTATTGTAGTGACAGGTGGCCCTCGTGATAGAGCCGTGCTCGTGGGCACACCTGAGACGCAGAGCAAGGACGGCCTCTCTTGAGGCCTAAATGGTCAGGCCTGGCTCCTCTCAGCACCCACCTTGTCAGGACTAGAGGGTCCCGCTGTCACACCCCAGACTCTGGTGGCATCCCAGAAGTCTCCTGCCCCACCCTGCATTGCTGCTGCCGGTTCATTCCACACGCAAGGGAAACCCCTGTCTCCACCCAGGACTGCTGCAGGCATTCACACACTGTGGGCCTGGGCCCGGCTGCGCCAGGGCTCTGAGGGGCCAGAAGGTCTCTGCTTCCTCCAGCACCAGGCCTGCTCATTTCCTACCCCAGGGTAGTTGGCGAGATGACTCCCAAGTCTCCAAATAGGACGCAGGGGAAACCCCACCCTCGCTCTCCAAGGTGCGCTTTTGCCAGGTGTTTCGCCAAAACAAGAAGAAAATAGTTCAGTAAGGTCCACGGTCTGGGTTATTTCATCTCATCCATCGTAGCTGTTCTTGGTGGTGGTGGTAGAGGTTGCCTTGAAGTGGGCTCTGGCTCACAGCAAACCCACGACCCCATACACAACAGAAGGAAACTGCCTGGTCCTGGGCCGTCTTCATGATCATTGACATGCTCGAGTCCGTTGTTGTGACCACTGTGTATGTTGAGTGTCTTCCAACCTCGGGGCCGCATCTTCCAGCGCTCTTTTGGACAATTCTGTTGTAATCCGTAGGTTTTTCACTGACTAAATTTGGGAAGTAGATCACCAGGCCTTTCTTACTAGTCTGTCTTAGTCTGGAAGCCATGCTGAAACCTGGTGGCATAGATTCTAGCATCGCAACAACATATACAGCACCACAGTGCAACAAACTGATAGACCGGGATTGGGGGGGGAGGCATCTTATCCATGATCTCTTTTTACTAATTTGAATTGTCATTAGAACCCTAGATTTTCAGCAGTTCAGTTATTACTGCATAAGCTGAATTACTTTGAAACTCAAACCCATGCCTTTGAGGTCTCTGTAAGAGATTTGTAACTGACCACGTTTCCACCAAGTCACAGAAAGTAAAAACAAACAAAAGGACTTGGCTACTTGACGTGAGGAAACCCTGGGGGCGCAGTGGTTAAGAGCTCCGCTGCTAACCGAAAGGTCAGCAGTTCGAATCCACCAGGCGCTCCTTGGAAACCCTATGGGGCAGTTCTACTCTGTCCTTCAGGGTCTCTATGAGTCGGAATCGACTCGACAGCAGTGGGTTTGGTTTTGGTTTGTTTTACTGGGTGTGAAAAGTCATATGGAAAGAAACGCCACTCCTTAAAAAGGACCTGATTAAAAAGCAGTTTTCCTTTCCCTCCTGCATCAGCGGCCTGAAGGGCTGGTCCTTAAGGCCTTCAGGAGGGATATAGAGTGCTGAGCGACATCCGAACCTGTTTAAAACGTGATTTATTCTAAGAGGTCGCGATTTTTGAATACGTTAAATGCTGGTAGCGATGCTACGTTTCTAGAAGATGATATGCGAGCGTTACTGATACACAACAAAGGCCCAAAATATTCTCTCCAGGAACCACCTGCAGGAATCGGGCTCTCCCTTCCCTCCTGCGGCCTCCGAACAGCAGTACCTGGAAGTCTCTTCCTTTAGTATAAACTATTCATGTGAGGATCGCTGCCTGCTTAGCAGTCTCCCCGTATATCTCCGCTCAGGACAGTAAAGGGCAGAGAGAGAGTTGCTAAGTGACAGCTTGATTATGCTGTTTACAATTCAAACACGCCCAATTAGAGTGCTGCGGGCGAGGTGAATTGATTCTCGATTTCGTTTGATCTGTATTTTAAAGATACTCAAATGAGTTAAGAGGGTAGTGTTCTGTCTTAAGGACAAAGTTTACAGTAGGCACATACTAGAGGTCATTTGCTGCTGAGGGAAAACATTATTAAGGACTCAGTAAACATGATTTGTCAAGGAAAATTAACTCTATAGGAATTTGCTAATTTAAGGTTATGGAAGGAAAGAAAATTCATCCTGGTGATTATCATTGCTGCTTCCTGGGCGTCTGCTGTTCTGTACTGATCCTGAGTCTAACCTGGCTTGTTTCTTCTCAATCTGTTTATGCTACTAAGAGCCAAACCTTTCTCAGGAAGGTGTGCTGATTAGCCACGCAAGCTCACGCACAGTTCTAGAACAGTGTGAAAAACATTGCATGCATACGCTAAATCTTTCCGGTGGAATTGTGAAATGAGGCTAATTGATCTAGAAGCCCGTTGGTGCATATAATTGGCATAACATATACCAGCTGTGTGATTTTCAAACCATACCGTTAGTATGATTTTGACTCCTTCCACTGGCGAAAATTAACCTCATCATCACCAGCAACAAGGTCTTAGATAGCTTTTCTTAAATTCTGAGACTTATGAAGGCAAAGCAATATATATAAGCTTACTCCAAGGCAGAAGTCTAGCTGCCAAGATATTTCTAGAATCTGCGATTGATTTCAGCTCATTCTAAGATGGATATACTGGGATGACAAATGGGCACGTTCAGTGGTTCTAGAGTTTCTAATATGAAAAAAATTAAGAAGACCCTTTCTTTCTTCTACTGCTTCTTGGTTTAAGACCCTACATTCTGTGATACCAAAACAGTGAGTGAGTACCTAATACCTCTATTCCATTTATGGTGCTTTATGACACAACTGTTGTTTTTTTCCTTTCTCGCCCCCTTTTGTGATTTCCACCGCCTAGAGTTATCTTAAAGTACCTGGTGGCACAACAGTCAAGCGCTCGGCTTCTCACCGAAGGTCAGCAGTTTGAACCCACCAGCCCCTCAGCAGGAGAAAAGACCTGGTGACGTGCTCCTGTAAAGATTTCAGGCTAGGAACCCCGAGGGGGCACTTCTCCTCTGTCACACGGGGTCGCTATGAGTCCGAATTGACTTGACCACACAATAACAACAGAATTATTCTGAGTTAGAGACTGTAAGAAAATACTGGGTTAAAGTAGCTGGGGAGTCCCTGGGTGGAGCAAACAATTAACACACTAGGCTGTTAACCAAAAAGTTGGAGGTGCGAGTCCACCCAGAGGAGCCTCGGAAGAAAGTCCTGGCAGTCTACTTCGGAAAGGTCACAGCCATTGAAAACCCTATGGAGCACAGCTCTATTCTAACACGCATGGAGCACCATGAGTCAGAGTCAACTCGACAGCAGCTGGTAAAGTGGTTGGAGTTGGCAATGGATCACTGACTGTAGGCAAGGATGAAATAAGACATGCCTTCTTTGCAGGCAGCCCCAGAGATGGTAGCGTTTCATTTATTCCGTCTGTTCAGAGACCACCCACTGAGGAAATGACACATCCATCTCAACCCAGCAGAGCAATAGCAGGAGAGAGCCTCGGGAAGCTTTGCATGTTACACCCAGAAGGGGATACAGGTGGCCATCAGGAGGACAGAGAGGAGCCAAGAGCGACCCGCAAACCATGTTTAGGAATCTCTCTCCTCACTAAAAGCAAGAGCAATAACAGTAACACAACCACGTGGGTTATTGAGAAAAACTGCTACACATGGGGCAGGAAATACTATCTTGAGCAGTCAATCAGAGGAAAAGAGCACCTGCCAGCACTTAGTACAGGAACTGGAAGAAACCTGCAGAAATCTGACATCCTCAGGAGTCAGGAGACACAGTCTCTATGAAACTGAAGTGGAAGTCCATGAAAAGAGCCCAGACTCAAACAAAAATGAGGCAGTGCTGAGTGCAATAAGGAAAACTAAAAATGCCGTAAAAAACCATTGCCATTGAATTGATTCTACCTCATAGTGACCCTGTAGGACAGAGTAGAACTGCCCCAAGGAGTGGCTGGTGGATTTGAACTGCTGACTTTTTGGTTAGCAGCTGAGCTCTTAACCACTACACCGTGGGCTCCAAAGTAGAACTGAAATCTCCATGGGGGCGCAGAGAATAACTAAGTTCACATATCAAGTTATAAGTGCAGAGCACAACCTAAGAAGCTGTCTCAGAAAAGACAAGTATATAAGAATACGGTGAGAAGAGGGAGTGCAGGACACAGGACAGAAACATGAGCTACAGGTTACAGGTGTTCCCACGAGGAAGAGGACAGAACAGGGACAGAAATGAGAATGGCAGAGATGATTAGAAGTTCCTGAGATAAAAATCTTTATCACAAAGGTGGAAAAGGCTCGTTTCAATCTAAAGAAAATCAACAAAAAGAAACCCACATCTAGGCACATTTTTTTGCCCCAAAAAAGTTTACATTTT